GTGCCCCATCGGGCGGGCCGCAGGAAGTCGACGGTGGAGGAGAGAGGAGAGAGAGTGGAGGCAAGGTGCGCTCGCGTCATATCTGACATCCTGTCCCTCCCGTCCCTTCCCATGGCGCACGCGTGTCATGGCTGACCTGCGACTCCCGCAGAAAGACCACTTCGTGTGATGCACAATCGGAAAAATTGGAGCTGCGTGCACAGGAGGAGGAGGAGGTGGCGGGTGAGCAGGAGGGTAAGGTAGGCAGGGAAAGGGTGAGGACGAACAGCAGCAGCAGGAACTAAAGCGGAAGGGTCGGGAGGAAAAGGAGGACCAGAGGAAGGCGGAGAAGGGGAAATGAGGGTGGCGATGATGATGAATAAAGATTCGGATTCTGAAAAGTGGCCCGCGTTGAGGCGAGAAGAACAGCAGAAGGAACTGGAGCGGAAGAAGCGGGAGGAACCGGAGGGCCCGGGGAAGGCGGACGAGGGGAAATGATGGGCTGGGCCATAATGAAGCAAGATTCGGAATCAGAAAAGTGGCCCGTGCTGGGGCGATAGCGCCATGCTGATTGACGGGAGCAAAGCGCCGACCAGAAAATGAGGCCCACGCTGCAGCGGGAGCACCGTTTTGAAACAACGCAAACAGTCGGATAGCAAACAAAAAAACAGCAAATATTCCGACTGTGAGACCCCACACGATAATGGATTCAGCTTGCCCCTCGCCTTTTTCATGTTCGACTAGCGGAGACCCTCCTCCCACCCTCTGCGTCCTCCTCTTCCTCCTCCTCCTCCTCGTCCTCCTCCTCTTCCTTCTCGTCCTACCCGTTACATTTCTGTTCCTCCTCCTCCTCCTCCTCCTCCTCCTCCTCCTCCTCCTCCTCCTCCTCCTCCTCCCCCCACCCTCCTCATATTCCTCCTCCTCCTCCTCCTCCTCGTCCTCCTCCTCCTCCTGATGCACCTTTCCTGCCTACTGGCATGGGTGCGCTTGTCGATTTTCCTCGGCGTCCTCGCCGCCACGCCAGGCAGGGGCGCGTTTTTCGTTGGCAAGATCGCGAAGCCGTTAAGGCAACCCCGCAGGAAGCCGTGGGCTCCTCCTGGATGACTGGTCCTCCTCTTCCTCCTCCTCCTCCTCCTCCTCCTCCTCCTCCTCCTCCTCCTCTCTCCTCCTCCTCCTTCTCATCTTCCTCCTCCTCGTCCTCCTCCTCAGATAGCTCGAGGGAGTGGCGCGTGAGTTCCTGTGGCAGGCCAGCTTGAGATTCCAGTGCCTAGTGGATGGATGCCTTTTTTTTCTCCGAGCGCGAGCGCGAGCGCGCCGAAGCTTGCCCCCCAGATGTAGACAATTTCCGTTCGAAGCTCGCCCGCGGTTCATTCACAAAAGCAGACCCCGCCTGAGATTACCTTCGCACTCAGGCAGGAAGGTTTCCGATGGCCCATTTGCATTGGTAGCGTGAGCTGTGGGCCCCACAGGGAGGGGGGGGGGGGCGCTGGGGATTTCCTGGCGAGTCACTCACAGACGAGGCTCTCGCCTGAGACTTCCTCTATACCCAAGCTTGAAGAGGCACAACAATACGACTATTACAGGGTTCCGATAACACGTTCGGATTGATAACATACGGTGCGAGCCCCATGGAGAGGGGGTTTCCGCTTGAGATTCCCCCGCACTTCACTCACAAACGAGGCTCCCGCTTGTGACTTCCTCCAGATTCAAACTAGAAGAAGCCGAAATTAAGGACTGGTACGGGTTTTCGATGACCCGCTCGAATTGGTAACATGAGCTGCGGGCAACATGGGGAGGGGGCTCCCGACCAAGACTTCCTCGCAATTCACCCACAAAGAAGGCTCCCGGCTTAGACGTCTTCCACATTCAAGCTTGAAGAGGCCAGACGAGACGACAGTTACAGGGGTCCGATGGTTGGGAGCCCCATCCGGAGGGAGCCCCCGCTTCAGAACTCTTCGCACGTCATTCACAGACGAGGCTCCTGTCGAAGATGTCTTCCATACCCACGCTTGAAGAGGCCAACAGTGATAACAGGTACAGAGTTCCGATGATCCGTTCCGATTAGTAACGTGAGATGCGGGCCACATCGGGAGGGGGCTCCCGCCTGAGACTTCATCGCAATTCATTCACACACGAGGCTCGTACAGGATCCCGATGACCCGCTAGGATTAGTAGTTGCGGGCCCCACTTGGGGGGGGGTCCCACCTGAGACTCCTTGGCAACTTACACACTGACAAGGCTCCCGTTGGTCGATGATCATGATGGGACGGTGATAGCGATGACGACGGTGGTGTGCGATGGTGTGAGATGGTGACGACGATCATGGTGGCCGATGACCATGACGGGATAATGGCATGATGATGAGGGAGTGAGTGATGAAGGAATGTGAGTGATAGAATGAGTGGTTGATGATGGTGATGGTTGGTGATACTGAGAGGATGGTGGTGATGATGATGATGATGATGATGATGATGATGGTGATGGTGATGGTGATTATGATGGTTGGTGTGATGACGATGTTGATGGTAATGGTGATGAGGAAGAAAGAAGGGATGAGGAGAGATCCTCCGCGGAGGTGCGCAGACAAAACATTTCGACGGCAGGACCCACATGAGACTATAGTTATAGTGTCCCTGGCCCGTTTCCTCTCCGATTGGCGGAGGTTCTCATCCAGCCCTCCAGGTATTCCTCTTCCTCCTCCTCCTCCTCTTCTTGCGTCTCGCCCTAGTCGTTACAAGTACTAGTTCCCTCCTCATCCTCCTCCTTCTCCTCTTCCTCCTCCTCGTCCTCCTCCTCCTCCTGCTGATCCTCCTCCTCCGCCTCCTCCTATCCCATCCTCCTTATATTCCTCCTCCTCCTCCTCCTCGTGTTCGTACTCTCTCTCCTCCTCCTCCTCCTCCTCCTCCTCCTCCTCCTCCTCCTCCTCCTCCTCCTCCTCCTCCTCCTCCTCCTCCTCCCTCCTCTTTCTCCCTCCTCCTCCTCCTCCTTCCCTCCTCCTCCCCTTCCTCTTCCTGCTCCTCCTTCTCCTCGTCTTCTCTCTCTCTCCTCTCTCTCCTCCTCCTCCTCCTCCTCCTCCTCCTCCTCCTCCTCCTCCTTCTCCTCCTCCTCCTCTTCCTCCTCCTGCTGGTCCTCCTTCTCTTCCTCCGTCTCCTCCTCATCCCTCTCTCCTCCTCATCCTCCTCCTTTTCCCTCTCCTCCTCCTCCTCCTCCTCCTCTTCCTCCTCCTCCTCCTCCTCCTCCTCCTCCTCCTCCGTCTCCGCCTCCTCATCTCCATCGCGCTTGTTCTCCTCATGCACCTCCCGCTCCCCCTGGCAGGGGCAGCGATGCCAAGTTTCTTCGGCGCCCTCGCAGCCACGACCGGTTGGGGCACGTTTTCCGATGACAAAGTCGCGAAGTTGTTGGGACAACCTCGCGGGAGGCCGTGGGTTCATCTTGGGTTCGTGTTCCTCTTTGTCGTTCTCCTCCTCCTCTTTCCCCTCCTCCTAAGATAGCTCGAGGGAATGGTTTCGGATTCCGATGACCTGGTCGGATTCGTAACACGAGTTGTGGGCCCCATAGGGAAGGGGGCCCTTCTGGAGACTTCTCCGCGAGTCGCTCACAAACGAGGTTCCCGCCTGAGACGACTTCCAAAATCAAGTTTGAAGTCAAGCTTGAAGAGGCCAAAAGTGACGACAGGTATAAGATTCCGATGGCACGCTCGGATCCATGACATGAGCTGCGGGCCCCACAGGGAGGAAGCTCCCGTCTGAGAACTCCTCGCAGGTCGTTCACAGACGAGGCTCCTGTCGGATATGCCCTCCATACCCAAGCTTGAAGAGGCCAAAAGTGACGATCTGCTACTGGGTACCGATGACACACTCGGATTAGTAACATGAGCTGCGGGCCCTAATTATAAGGAGGACGCTCCCGCCAAAGACTGCCTTGCAAGTCGTTTTAAGACGAGGCCCCTGCCCGAGATTCCAGTTGGAAAAAGCCCACAGTGACGACATTGTTTGGGCTCCGACGTCGAAGTGATAACATGAGTTGTGGGCCACATGGGGAGGGAGCTCCCGCTTGAGACTTCCTCGCGCTTCACTCATGGACGAGGCTTCCGCACGATACCCCCTTCACATTCAAGGTCTAGGGGCTCGAAACTGACGAGGGTTTAGGGGATGCGGACGACCCGTTCGGGCAAATATGCAACATGATTTGCGGGCCCCATTGGGAGGGCCCTCGCGCTTGAGACTTCCTCACAAGTCACTCACAGACGGGGCTCCTGTTCTAGGATGAACGTATGTGTGTGTGCGTGCGATGGCGATGAGTATGAAGATGATGGTGTGAAAGTGATGATGGTGATGGCGAGATGGGGGTAATGAGCGAGATGCTGATCAGGACAATGGTGATGTTGATGATGAAATGAGTGCGTGAGAGATTGATTGACCATGTGTGGTGGGTGTGTGACTGATGATGGCGGTGTGAATGGATGAATGACTGATGGTGATGCTGTGAGTGATGATAAGGAGCCTGGTGCTGTTATGGTGATGATGGTGTGTGAGTGATTGGATGAGTGGTTGTGCGAAGGGAGAGGACGAGTAAGGGAGGGAAGAAGAACTGCTGGGGGTGCCCAGAGGAAACAAGAAACCCATTCAGGATGTAGGGAACCAGAACCCAATTTGGGATGTTTGGGGAAATCATTATGTTCGAAATCCTGTGCGTCAGCAGCACGCGGCGGGGGCGAAAGATCTCCCGCACAACTTCAGGGGAGGAGCGAGAGTAGTATTCAAATGGCTTCATTGTGAAGAAGTGGAAGCTGGTGGTGGAAGCAGGCGTGGCAGTAGAGGTGGAAGAATACATGCAGAAGTGGAGGCGAAAAGTAAATTCAGAACCAGCCGAAGAAAGCGGCTGACGTCTCGACGACGGCGTCAGAGAGCAGCACCACATTGCCCACGGTACCATAACAAGTTCGACACCTACACATGTCCAGCCACATTCCGGACTCCAGCTCCAGACCTACGGGGAAAATCGAGAGGAAGAGGAAGGGG